GTTGACTGTGTATAGCTGTGGTTATTAACCATTTTGAGTCATGAACTATGTGCGTGTGTACATGCATATGTGTGTGCGTGCGTGCATGTGCGCGGGTATGTGTGTGCGTGCGCGTGCATGCGCTTGTGCGTGAGTGTGCGTGCGTGTTTGTGTGTACACGTAGGTGCGTGCGTGCGTGCATGTGTTTGTGAGAGAGCGTTGTTAAGTGCGTACATGTGTGTTTGTGTGCGTGTGTGTGAGCGTGTGTTGTGTGTGTTTGTGAGATAGCGTGTGTGCGTCCGTAGGTGCGCACGCGTGTGTGTGAGCGCGCGTGTGTACGCGCGTACGTGTGCGTGCCCGCGCACCACAACTCACCTGCAGATAGAGCACCAGCTTACAGAGGGCGTATCCGAAAAACCACGTCTCCCAAGTGTCCCATAGCAACGTCGGCATGAGGCAGATGAGAATCACCATGAAGTCGCCGGCCGCCAGGTTGAGAATGAACATGTTCGTCACCGTCTGCATGTGATTGACGCGCAGAACGACGTAGCAGACGAGAAAGTTGCCGATGAGGCCGACGACGAAGACGATCATGTAGATGCAGAAGATGATCCAGTCGTACCACTTCGGGAAGACGTAGCGGTAGATCATCTCGTAATACTCTTCGTCCGTCACGCAGTACTCGTTCGTGCAGTTGTTGTCCGCCATCATCATCGTACCGTCGGCGGCTCCGTCGTTGGCAGCTATCGCCGCCATCGCCGCCATCGCCACCGTCGTCGCCGCGTCCGCGTGATCAACGTAGTCAACGGATCCGGGATCGGTCGCCGGATCCATGTTAGATGGCGATGATAGCTTGGTACTGCTGCTGCTGCTGCTGCTGCTGATGATGATGATGATGATGATAATGATGACGTTACACTAATGTTACTTATACTGCTGCTGCTGCTGCTGCTGCTGCTGCTCTTGCTGTGGCTGTTATCCTAATGTTATTGGTTTGATTACAAATTGGTCACGTCCCGCGGCTGCTCGCAGGGACGTGTCGCTGAGACGAGAGCTCGCTGTTAACTGCCGAGCTGCGTTTGCATGCCGCACTCCACCGAAAGACTCAGAGATGCGCGCTCACACAGGCACGCGCACAGCATCGCCACCAGCAGCAGCAGCGGCAGCAGCGGCGGCGGCGGCGGCGGCGGCGGCGGCG